AATAATTTACTTTTCTGAAATTTACTTTTCAAAAGGAAACTACTTTCCAGCAAACAAACAGAACCTTAAGAGTATTATTTCATATTTTAATCATAATTATAATACTTAATTTGAGGTGTTTAGAACACATATCAAATCTCTTAATCACACATCAATGTATTAGCCCAAGTTTTTTATTTAAATTATTCAAAACTATATTTTTCTTATAAAAAAATCAGGTTTTTTCATTAAAATAGCCCTAATCAAACTTTAAATTAATATATTGACATGTCAATTCAAACATGATATTATAATCATAATTTTTAATTTTATGTGGATAATTTACTTTAAACTTAAGATCGAAGAAACTTAATTTTAATATGTGAGTGAAAATATCTGGCACTAGTTCTTTTATACACAAATAATAATAATAATAGTAAAAGATCATAAAATAACTTATTAACTATTTTTTATATACTTAAAGATGAAAATTTTACTCAAATTTAATAGATACTAATCAAATTAAATGAATACAATTTTTTTATTCAATCGAACTTGGGTAAAACTCAAAGGCAAAAACTCAGGTTTTGATTGAGTATAGATACTAATTTATCCTACTCGAAACTCAATCCAAACCTAACTCAAAATGTATGAACAACTTTAAAGTTTGAAAAAAATTACATTTATATTAAGCTATATATGTAAAGAAAATTAGAGTTCTTTTTCTAGCGTTACCTCCCTTCCTTTTACTTGTTTATCAATTCAACAACTTCCTTTTGATTGTGACTAATATTTTTTTATTTTATATACCAAGTTATATACATAAAGAAGAAATGTAACTTGAATTTCTCGCTCACATATAGCTTATAATTGTCCTTTTCTCCTCCTAATAATAAATTTGTAAAACTCACTCCCTTTTTATTTCTATTCATCATGATTGTTCGCTAATTTTAAAATGTTTTAATAGTTTTTTATAATTATGATAAATTTTTCTTATTATGTATTTATAATTTTAAAGTGGTATCTTCAATCAATAGTCATGTTTGATGTAGGTTCTTTTATGTCTGACTCAATTAAGAGAACTTTGTAATTTAAAATTGTAGTTTTAAGTTAATTTGTTCAAACTTTGCAATTTAAGAGTTACTCGTACATGTACTCGAATAATTCCAAAATTATATTACAAAGTTACATAAGAATCAATATAATTAAACCCACTTCACACAAATATTAGTTAAACTAAAGAACTAACTAAATACTTAAAATAACTTGAATGTAAAGTAAACTTAATAACTTAAAAAATAAATATTTATATTCATAAAGTAATTCATACTGTAATTACATTTATGAATTGAAACTCCTAGGTAATGAAATATCTTTTTGGTATTGTATATGGAATTGAAACTATAAGCTTACTAATTATAAAGAAAAATACATGTTTACTTTAATACCATATACTATTTTATTGCCTATAGAATTACTACTTACAAACTATCACTTATAAGCTATCATTTACTGATTTTAGGTTTGTAAGGTCTTAAGAGCTTGATAAAACTTAAATGCAGTGATTTGAGTTTAAGTTGTTGTTGATTTTTTTTTTTTTGTCTTGATCTTCTTTATAATCCATTTATATAGTTAGTTGTGTGATGTTTTCATTAACTATTTGTTAACTACTAATAACTTTGTATTTTTAAAGGTTCCTTCCATAATCTCACATACACAAAAGCTATTGCTGCATTTTAATTATGTGGCTTGGTACATCTTCTTATAGAGTTAATCATATGTGCATGTTCTTTCCTTTACATATGGTAATATCCTTTAATACTAGTTATCATATAACTTTTTTATGCCTTTTTATTTATCTATTTCTCATATATTTTTTGTAATACAAGACTTATCCCTTAAAACAAATTGCCTATTAGTGAATACAAACTAACGGGTACTCTTAATTAATAGGTATATTGAGAATTAAATTTAAAATTTACATAAATTTTGTCTTAAAAAATATTTTTGTTTAACATATGTGAATGTTAGAGTAATGATTGACACTCTTTCCGAAGTAAATTTGAATATAAATTTTTAAATTTTGAATTATGTCCTATTCTTTTATTTTTTATATAAAAACTTTTATTAATATATTCATTTGCTTATCTTTATCATTATCCTTCTTTTGCTTTTTACCTTTTGTCTTCTTTAAGGTAATAATTAACTAAGATTACAACCCAAACCAAATAGTTCCACTCACCATAAACAAAGTTCATGTTTTTTTGTTTCCATATATAAGTTTACTCCTATAAACTTTATGGGATTTTTACTTGATTCTTTATAAAATATATTTTTACCTTGAATTTCTTAACTCTTCCATCAAATAAACTTTGTCTTTCAAATCTATGATATACCTAGATGATTAACTCCACCATATATTAGGTCTAGCTGTTTAGGTGGATCCAGACATGACAAAAATTCCTCTTGGCATCGAAAAGGAAATTTTAAACTTTTCTAATAAGGCAAGCCCTTTTATTTTTCATCTGATTGGCTTTTCCTAAATTAATTGGGAATTTTTCTCTAGATATACATCTAACCTAATCAAATTATGGCTTTTTTCAATTACTGTTGTGAACAACCTTTATGCTACTTTGTTAAAGCATAGCTCCATTAAAGAAAAATGAAAAACAAAATTGATATCTTTTTTTATCTTACTTTAAATCATTTCCCTCATGTGAACCTTACCCTTTTATTTATAATGTTCACCTTGTAAGCTATTTTATTGAAGCATAGCTCTGTTAAAGAAAAATGGAAGAAATAATAAATTGATATCTTTTTTTATCTTACTTTAAATCATTTCCCTTGTGTGAACTTTACCCTTTTATTTATAATAATGACCTTGTGAGATTCCAACTTCAATTATGTTCACACCAGGTCTGGTCTTGTAACCATCATTTTAGAGGATGTTGTATTATTAACTAAATGCTCCCTTATTAGATTTAATTTGATATCAATTATTTGTATAATTAGTTACAAACAGATTATACAAATCTGGAAGAGGAAGGCGGGCTTCCAATATTTGTAAAGTTTGAAGAGTTTTTTTAAGAGGTTTGCTTTAGAACTTCTATAAGGTAATAATATTAAAGCCATGAAATTTAGGTTTTTATCTAATTTGGATTTATAGATATCTGGTTGCTTGTAAAGGTGCATTTATAAATAACAGTTGCCTTGGTTTAGTTATGCTTTTCTTTTACCATAATGACTATTTAATTTTAACTCCTCTATTTTTGGGTATGACATTTAAGAATTTACACTATGCTATCGAAGAAATTGTTTTGTGGTTAGTTGGAGGCCTATTTTCCTCCATGTTACTCTAGAGTTGCTACTTTAAATACTAGTAAGGTTTTTTTTCTTATGGTCACTTTTATAACCTTACTATATATAAGTTTCTCCATGTTTTTCCTCTTTTTTTTTTTTTCAATTTTCGAGTGTATTTATAGGGTTTTGCTAGAGCTCTTGATGGATTCAAACATCGATTGATCAAAGCTTAGCCATATGATCAAAATGAGAGAGCTTTAAATAAAAGTTAATAATTGGAACCTCTGTCCTTCAATGGTTTTAGGATGGTGATTTTGCAACAAGCTTGACTTTTCGAGATTTTGGTGGTTTTTTCAAACTTGGAGACTAATGAGCTTGTTTGGATATATTCATGCTCAATTTAAAGGATTATAGTTCCATATTCATTTATTTAAAGGTGCCAACTCGATTAGCCGAGAATTTAAAAATATCGTAATGGTTGATCGAGTACAAGATGTTGTTAACCTCATTAAAGGAAATGAGATGTAAACATTTGATGAAAGTAGTTGATCTTTGTAGAGAAGGTTTTTTTTAGTTGAATGGTGGTGGTTACATTCCCAGAAGTGATTGAAGATGCCACATTCATTTGTCTGAAGATGCCTACTCAATCAGCCAAAAATATCAAGAAGAAGCTAATTAATGATTGAAAGATACATCATTTAGGTCAAACCCTAAAAATTCAGGTTTTTAATTTGGTATCTAACAAATTTCACTTTAGTCTATATTCTTCCAATTTCTTTTAATTTCACTTGTAATTACCTCTTAAACTTTTAATTTCATGCAATATTACTCTGTCAAACTTGATCATCAGCCTAAAAGTTGACAGCTTGTTTCATTTTAGTCATTGGTTATAAAATTGCGCATTTTAACCCTCAATTGATTAAAAAAACCTCTAATTTATTCAATTTCAACCCATGCATTCACATGTTTTTTTCCAGTTTGGTCCTTGCTTTGGAGGTTCTTCAATCAAGTCCCTAATTGCTCATCAAACTTTAATATTTATGCAATTAAGCCCTGATGTTTGACTAAATTAACACTTTAAAATTACAATTTGACCCCATACTTTACTTTCTTCCTGATATTTGACTAAATTAACACTTTAAAATTGCAATTTGACCCCATACTTTACTTTCTTCCAATGAAAACCTAACTTGACTTCAAAAATCAATTTTTCTTGCAATTAAGTTCTCAATAAAATTAATTAAGCCTTGCAAAATTTTCATCGAGTCCTTAACTATTTAAATTTATATTTCTTTACTCCAAATAAAAATATTATCACTAATGAGCTAATTTTACTAATCTTATACATTTTGGTCCTTCATCACCAAAATAGGTAATCTTCTAGGCTTTGTTTCTTAATATCCTTTTGTATTTTAGATTTTTTTTTCTAATTTTTCTCGATTTTTTATAGGTTTAAAAATGAGTAACAACAAATTTATTTAGTTTAATTTTGTATGTGTTTGAATTTTTGTTTGTTACTTTCTTTTATAAGTTTAAATTTCACTCTAGAGACATTTAATAATATTAAGTAATCATAATACTTTTAGTTGAACAAAATCAAACTTAAATAATTGCAATTAATTTTTTTTTTAATAACATAAATTGAGGACATCCGACACCAATAAGTCATCATAAAACAGCTTCGCGTGTTGTATAAATACAAAAACAATGTCATCCAAGCTGCACAATCCAAGAGAAGTAAGTCGAACCATGATAACTGTGAATAGAGGAAAGAGGGCATGCCATAGAACCATCGACATAACCAAGCACACCTTGACCTGGAGATACTAAATATACCAATGTAAGCATATGCTGTGAGAGTGATGCTTAATTTGTTACTCATTTCATGCCAACAAACTGCCTTCAACAATTGGCAAGGCTGGTGTTGGCATTGACCATCTCCCTCATAGCGAATTTTTGCACTTTTCCAGAGAAATTGACTGGTAATTCCCCAAACACTATAGTTCTTGGAATCATAAGGTCTGGCAATTGATCATCACAGAACTCAATAATCTCTTCAGCACTAGCACCAAAACCTTCCTTCAATTTCACAAATGCACATGGCACCTCATTCAAAAGAGCATCAGGCTGTCCAACAACGGCAGCCTCTGAAACCTTTGGATGACTTAACAATACTGCTTCCACCTCTAATGTGCTTATAGCCTCCCCCCCTGAGATGATAATATCCTTAGCTCGGTCCTTCATTTGTAAGTAACCATTCGGATGCCTTACTCCAAGGTCTCCTGTATGAAACCATCCACCCTTTAAGGTTTCTTGAGTAATTTCTGTACTTTTCAGGTACCCTGACATCAAAATGTTGCCTCTAAACATCACTTCACCAATGGTTTTCCCATCATTCGGTACGCTTTCCATGGTCTTTGGATCCTTTACATCAACCCCTTCAAGTAAAAGGTTGTGGAGTCCTTCTCGCCTCCTGATTTCTTCTTGTTCAATTTCGAACGTAGAATCCGATTCAGATTTCCATGGCCTCATAGTTGCTGGACCAAGAGCTTCTGTCATGCCGTAACCATGATACACATTAAATCCCAAACCTTCAACCTTGGTCAGAATCTCTGAATTTGGCAATGATCCGGCCACAACAACATTAACACCGCATGGAAATGGACTTTGGGAACTAACTCTAGCTGGTGCATTTGCAATGGTGTTCAAAATAGAGAATCTCTGAATTTGGCAATGAACCGGCCACAACAACATTAACACTGCATGGAAATGGACTTTGGGAACTAGCTCTGGCTGGTGCATTTGCAATGGTGTTCAAAATAGCTGGTGGGCCGCAGAAGTGAGTTACCTTGTGAAGAGATACGGCATCGAATATGATTTCTGCCGAGACATTTCTGAGGCAGATATTGGTACCACCAATGGCAGCCATTGCCCAAGTAAGGCACCATCCATTGCATCGAAACATGTCCACTGTCCATAGAAACACTGGCATTTGTCTCATGTCAAATCTGAATATCTCAGCCAAGGAGTTGAGATAGGCAGCTCTGTGACTGTATATCACTCCTTTAGGTTTTCCAGTTGAACCTGAAGTGTAATTAACTGAAATCGGATCACATTCGTTGTTCGGTCGGATTATCCTAAAATCATCTCTCCCCATTTCAAGAAGACAATTGTAATCCAGGTCACTGGCAATGTGTTTGTGGTCCATTGAAGAAGATTTGTCACACTCGGGGATTACCACAAGGTGGGGTGGGTTGACTTTTTTCTGAGAGAGGAGGTCCAGTGCCTTAAGCACAGCATCAGTGAACTGGTAATCCACAAAAATGAGTTTGGCCTCCAGTTGTTCTAATGCCAAAGCCAATGTGGATGCATCTAACCTGGTGTTAAGCGCAGAAATAACTGCCCCAGCCATCGGAACACCAAAATGTAATTCATAAAGTGCCGGAACATTAGGGGCCAAAGCTACCACCTGGTCATGAAAGAAAACTATTAGAAATGACGAGATTTCATTACCATTTTGGCCAAATTTAAGACCCAGTGACAAAACATTGGTAGAATAACTTGAGATGACGCAAAGTTCATGAATAATAGACCGAATCTCTTCTGAATTTTTTGATCAAAGGAAACTTAGTTTCTAGTTAATTTTTTTTTTTTTTCAATTTCGTTTACTAATTATTTTCTTGGAATGCCATCGTTCCACTAAGGCTCCATTCATTAACAAATGGAATCTCACATGTATCCAACATAACATTTGTACGTACCACCTGATAAAAGAATGAAATTTCAAGTACAAGTAGTTGTCTATACTTAAAAGCTTTTTTGTCTTCACTCATCAACATTTAGTTTTGATAAAACCAAATTTCACATGCTATAACAACCTTCCAAAGGCTTAAATATTAAAAATCACGGCCGGGTGATGTATTTAGACACAACTATCCATGAGTTTAGCATCTAATTTGAGCCCACGACACTAGGTTAGTTCCATGGTTGAACCTAGCAGAAATAGGCCCAGATAGCATCAGGTGCTAGGCACATTCCCAGCACCCCAAACGCTAAATGTCCCCAGTATCCCATAGGCTCGGGCATGCGTTCAAGCCTAACGTGAATGGAATTAAACAGCGCATCTAATTATATTTTTATATTTAACTGGATCTTGTAACTCCTTTGAGCTTAACAGTCCTTTTAGAATTTTTCCAGTACTCCAACCAATTTTGTTAAAGATTTTTTTTTACAGGTTTTTTAATATTTTATATTAATTTAATATATATTATTTTAAATAAAATATAATTTAATATACTACACTAATTTAAAGAAATGAAATAACTTTTGAGCCTCTTATCTCTATAAAAAGATAATACTCATTAGCTATAAATACCTTGTGAATTCACCAAGTTTAAAATTCACAATCTCTTTATTTTTAATATTTTTAGCATACATGTTTTCAAAACCTATCTCTCTAAAATATTATTGTATTTTTTCTTTCTACAAAGTTATTGACTTAAACATTTTAGAATCTCCTCACCTATCAAAAGTGATTTGTTGTAGATACCAGTTATAAACCACTCTGGCTTATAAGGCATCAGCCACATTGGCTTACTAGGCATTAGCTACCAGTCACCTGTGTTTTTCATATCAAGTTACTAAACACATTGGTTAGGAGAATACATTAGATTGGTAGAACTAAGATATTAACAATTTATCCAATACATAAGTCTTATTCCTAAGATACTTGAATTCTTTAGGACATCATCATTGGTGCCATCTATGAGAAATTGATAAAAAAAAAAAACGATTAGTTTTTAAAACTTGTTTTTGATATTTTCATATCATTCAATGGCACACAACCAAGATACATTTGGGCTAAGGCATGTGATGAATGTATTTGTTACCGCCATCATGAGCATTTTTTTCCATCCATACCTTTAACAATTTATCAACCAGGTGCAAGTCTTTACGTAAGTCATGTTGGCAATGTAGGGACAAAAATCATACCTTGCCACTATTGTAAGTTTTGGCACTTATGGTAACACACTTAACCTTATCACCATTATTATTGGTCACTCTTAGCACTTATAGGTCATTGCACTACAAAAAAAAGCATGGTAAATGACATTTAGAATAGTATTTTTTCTTAATACTCACCAAATCCCTTTTAAGGATTGCTCCTTGATTGATACTTAAAAGTGTATTTTTATCAAGGTTTTATACGAGTCCAAATCTAAAAAGGCCATTTTCAAGTCCAAATTGTAGCAACAACAAAGAAGCCCGAAT